GTATCCCAGCCTGAATTCCAGGGAGTTCTGCCTCTCTCAGCCCCTCTATAGGATTTCATTTATCCATAGCAGCCTTCCTTCCTTCCTGTTCTGCACTACTGCTCGAGCTGTCTCTGTTCTAATCCACCCTATGTGGATTAATCATAACCTTGGCTGGGCAACCTTGAGTATCACTTGGGATTCCTTAGAAGAAAAGGTTTTGTAGCAATGTGAACACAGACTCCTTTTGGCAGTAAGTCTGTATTCAATATGACATACATGAAGCCTCACCACAAGCTGCAGTTCACAAGCCATGTATTTCCCTTCACTAGTTTTCAAAAAACAGGAAATGCAGAATATTTTTTTAATTTGTTGTCACAAACCTGTCCTGGTATGTGACATAGTCTTTAGAATGAGATTTTTATTTTTTTTCAACCTTGAAATGCAGAGATGCAGAATCTGCAGTCTAGTCTCTGTAGTAGGTCTAGTCACACTACTAAATACAAAGTGTGGTTTAGAAATAGAAGAGCTTTCAGACATGTATGTGTAAGGGCAGGCACGCTGCTGCAGATTTAGACAACGAGCTGCAAAAAACAACTTGGCTTATCGTAGATATTTGTTTTTGCTTCTGCTTGCTACTAATGCGCTGCTTACAACTGGAGTTGTAAGTGTCCTGAAAGTGTCTGTAGGGGTGCAGCCTCCCTATATTAAGTATATACTGCTGAATCTGAGCTGCCACCAACCACGAGTAGCTGGTCTTGAAATATGCCTGTGGCTTCCCTATTGAGGAAGTTTTATGCTAAGATGAACAAAAAATAATCTGACTTGCTGTATTTTACTAACAGGGTAACTCTGTTGATGGTGGCTATATGGCAATATTATTCGTCATTTAATACATCCCCCACCACCTCAGTTCTCTGCTCCTTCTCTGAAACTGCTGGCAGCAGTCCTCTATACTAGCTCCCAAATTTCTCTGAAATGTTTTACTAACTTTTGGAACAGTCCATTAGTGATATAAAAGCCTTGTTCAGACATTAATTCAGAACTTTTCATACTTGTGAAATAATTAAATTATGCCCAGTTTCGAGTGGGAAAATCAGACAAGCATACAAAGCCCACAAAATGTTGCATAGACTGTGTCACAAGTTGAATGAAAAGGTGAGTAAAAGGGTTCCAGTTTGGAACTTATTTTCTGGCCAGCAGTTATATACTCCCCTTTATATGACCTGATTTATTCTTAATTTGAAAATTAATTTAAAGGTTAAGTGCAGGGATAAAGGAAACAGAAAATTGTTTATTTGTGATTGAAAGACTTACACTTCAGTCTGTCTTAAGAGTAACTTTGAATTTCTCTGGTCATTCTAGACCTTTGGCTGAGCTCCATGTACAACAGCCTTGGATTGGTGCTTGGGACATCTGTTAATCTATATATAGGATTCACACACTTGCACATGTAAACAGGTGATCTCCTAAATATATGAAATGGCATTGGGAACTCCAAGTACTTATTTAAGCCAAAATGTAATTAGAAGTGAACTGAAATAATCCTTTTTGCCTTCCTCCCTGCCACAAAAGTAAGCTGTCCTGGGAAAAAAAGTGCTTTATGTGCTGATTATAACTTGTGCATAATATATATGTATATACATTCATAAATCCAAGGAATTACTTAGTGCTTATTAAAAGTATTCTGAAAATGACCCTTTTTTTATTCTCCAGTTTAGTTCTCTTGATAGTTGCTAGTTTCTTACTGTTAAGGGACATAGGGTTTAAAAATAAAAGGTGTGTATCATGGGTAGAGAAAAAGGGTAGTAGATGGTAACTGATAAAGAAATAAGATATATTTAGGAAATTCATAAGGGAAGCTGAAGTCACAAAGGGAATTTTAAGTCATTTGATGAAGTCTATAGCTGTCTGGCTGAGGCTGATTTTAATAAATCTGAGAACAGCAGGGAGACTTCAGAAGAGCGAAAGACCAGTAGCATTTTGCCTCACTGCAGAAGGAGGATGAGTGAGTAAAGACTGGCTCATCTGATATCAGTTCCAGGAAGAAAAACGTGGAAAATTTGATAAAGAATTTAGATGGTATAAGAACAGTATAATCACACTGTTCAGCTTTTTAGTTTGTGAAGACGGCTCTGCTCAAATGTTATTTTGTTGTTTGGATATGTGAAATTTGGTTGCTAGAGGTTTTCTTTGTTTGTAATAGACTTTTATAACATCTTTAACTTGGTAGTGTGGTATATTTTGGCTTTAAAAAGTATATTTGAATTTAATGAAGTACTGCTTAGTTGGATTAACAACTGACTGTAATCATAGAAAGTGTTTTTGGTTGGGATCAGCACCGTGCAGTCTGGAAACAAATGCAAGACGGGTAACAGTGTGGACAGAACAAATACTATGGTGGCATAAATAATGATGTTTAAAAATGGTTTAGATCATTTAGGCAAACTGAGACGGTTGAGCAAAATGCGCATCAGTACAGGTGAGGAAAGAGTATGCGCCAAGGAGCAAAAAGTATGTGGGAGCTTTTTGCTGAAAATCCCTGACTCTGTGAGGTGAAAGGTAAAGAGTAGGTGTAGTTAGAAATGTGAAGGAAAGTAGGTGGTCGTAGCAATTGGCAAAAAGGGCTAACATACATTACTAGATGTGTAAATGGGAAAACATGAGTAATAAGATTATCTGCACTTAAAGCTGGGGAGCTGAACCTGATGCTATAGGTCTGCACTTTGTCTGTATACATTTAGTAAGATGTGCTAATTTAGGGTATGGATATGAGTCCCTGAAATGGCTCACTAGTGGAAATAATGCCATGCAGTGAGAGATTTAATGGATTGCTACCTAATGGGGCAGAAATCACTTAGTAGCAATCTGCTGTTGGAAGTAGGAAGTCTAACTCCCACCTTATGGTAGTGCTGGCAAATAACCTGGTGTCCTGTTTGCTAAACCACAACTCCTGGCTATACGGTCACCCTCTTCAATTCACTCATGAGAGAACTACTCCGTGTTTCCAGTGGGCTGTGGTCCATGTCGTGTCAGTGAGTCCAGCCACCCGTCAGGGGAACATGAGAGATGATGGGGGAGTGAGAGCTCTCACACTGCAGCAGCAAGCTGTTGGATCGAGTGCTCATGTAGATGCGGGTTTTAATACCCTCAAGACGAATCCAGCAAATGAAGAGCTCTGAGAGGAGGCCCAGCCATGAGGCTGCGTTAGCCCTCACTTGCACAGAAGTAGGAGTGCGATCTCACGCTGAGTAGGAGGAAGAGTCTGGAACTACCACTTCTGTTTGCAGTTTCACAGCCAAACGAAGGGCCTGTTCCTTCCCCTCTGTGTTCCCTCCTCCTCATTCTGGCTCTTGGCTGATCCCACACAGAATTACCATGGTGCTCTGTACACCCTCCCTCCCTTTCTCACTTCCACGTACTAAAGAAAGTAATTTCCTGCCAAGGATGCATATATTAAGAAATCATAGTTTGTCTTAAGAAACAGAAGAGAGGTAACTAGTTTGCACACTGTGCACACAGAGGTACCTCCACAGGTAGGAGGTACTCCTCTCACTGTCGTAAACCTTTCAAAGAAAGGTACATCAAGAGTCAGTGGAAGTGGAAGCTAGACAAATCCAAGAAGAAAATTAGGTGTGCATTTAAGAAAGGGTGATTGGCTGCTGTGCAAACAACCAAGGAAGAGATGGATCTCTTGTTTAGTACATATGAAGAGCAGAACCCTTATTGGAAGATGTATCTCAGTCAAATGCAAACTGCAAATAGGAGGTTGAAAGAAACAGGTAAAATGTGATGATGTCTGTAAGTAGACGTAGGGGCATCTTCTTAAATTTTTTGATCCCTGCTTTAGGGAGTGTACAGGGCAAATTTGGATATAATTTATGAAATTAATGTACTGGACAAACAAAGTACTTAAAAAAGGAAGCATAAGGGTTATAATGAGATTGCATAATTAGACTGTAGAGCAGTTTAGCTCTCTAGTGGTTTCACTGCATTTTGTGGACTTTTCTTTTGTGGACTATACAATAGACATAAGCTTGACAGAGAAATTAAAATTAAAACAGGGAAGATACTTTGCCATTCATTTTATAATAATTTATGTTGAGTATACTTAGGAGTTTGGGCTTGATTGCAAATGGGATTCAATATCTATTCATACTCAGGTTGTCCTAATTTGATATGTGTGTGTCTACACATGCTTGTGATTTTTTAATTCAGTTTTGAAAGGTTACTCTCATATGTAAGATGTCTTTGACTGTAAGAACAATCTAGAATGTTGCTTTGATTGTGTAGTTTAAAGAGAAACTGCTGTTATAAACTAAATGTTGAAATTATGACTATTCCAGAGATTGACATTAGAAAAAACCTAGCTAATTGCATTTCACACAGGTCATGAATATGTTCTGTTATGCTAAAATAAATAGGAAAAATTCTAGTGATAAGGGATTTCTTCTGCAGTGGAACAAGGATACTTCCAGACATATCCATGGTATTTCACTTTCACGAGTTGTTTCTGAAGGTGAATTTCTGAGCTGAGGAAGGAAATCAGCCTTGTAATTTAGAGTAACGACCAACAATTTTGTCATATCATTTAATCTGCACATGGTAATTAGAGTTTTCAGGAGTCATTAGCAGCTGGGGTGTCACTCTGTGTTTATTGGAGGGCTGTCAGCCCGTGTTTCTCTTTGTTTGTTTTTTAATATTAATGGTTTGGAAAACAGTTGGTGCTCTAGAAAGAATTGAGAAACAGGCCTGGGTTTGTGGATTTTTATCAGCCTGCCAAGACCCTGCGCAACTTCCTCTCCCTCTGCCCGCAGCAGCATACGGAAACCTGACTGCTGCAGGCCACTTCTGCAATTGCAGCAGGGCAGGGAGCAGGGTGGGAGCGGGGTCTTTTTCTTCTGCTGCTGGCTAGTGCCTTGCCACCCAAAGAAGAAAATAAGATGCATTTGAAAATGTCTCTTCGGTTGTTTCTTGCACTGATGGGTTTCCTTCTCTCCCCTCTCCTTGCTGTCGTGCAGTGCTGCAGTTGAAGCTCCAGCAGCGACGCACACGGGAGGAGCTGGTGAGCCAAGGGATCATGCCGCGTAAGTACCACTGGAATTCTCTGTCTTGGTGTTTTTGTGCATGCTTTTTTAGTGGAGAATGGTTTCCCCAATGATTTGAAAGATCAGATTCCCTGCTTCTGCATGAACACCATGGTATATGAGCCCCACCCTGTCCCACCCAACTTGGTCCTTCTGAAATGTTGGTGTGCTGTGTGGGGCCACCTCCCATACTGAGGAAGAGAGTAATGACTGCAAGTGTAACTGTCCTCCAAAACAATGCTTGCATTTGATCACACTGCAGAGTCTTTAGGAGAACATACTATGTTAGAAGTGCCTTGTATACTTGACACATACTGGTAATCACTCTTTTAACAGGCTTCCTGCCTCTGCAGTTTCTGTTCTTGCAGTTTGCCAGCTCCCCAGACCTCTGAGGCAGTTGTAACTTTGTACATACATATTCTATAAACTGACTGAAAACAGGCAGCGTGTACAAGACGTTAACCAACCAGGGACCCTGTTTTATGTTTGTAGCTAGAAAATGTGGCTAGAAAGAGCCATATGAGCATCAGCCATTCCCCTCCATGCAGGGGAAGACAAAACCAGTGGAGCCAGAGAACATTTCTGGATGAACACAAGCTTTAATAAATTCACTGTGAGGTTAATGTTGGAGAAGATATTTTTCTTTTTTGTTCCCCTTCTTCTCCCGAAAATGCAAAAAGGTATCTGACAAGTAGTTTTGTCATCCTTTGGTACCTCTGAACTAGATGACTTACAGTTAACAACTTGAAGCAAGACCAAAGAATGAATGTTTTATTTTTGAGGTCTTCTCAGTTTCACTCATCACCTTTAGTAAAAGGCAATGGATCAGGTATGTATTTTCTTCTTTCAAAAACTTTCCCGCTTCCCTGTTTCACAAGCTTTACTTGAAGACAGTGTAGTAATGTGGAGTTTCTCATTCTTTCTATTTTTGGGGTGCACAGTTTAATGTGACACAGTGGTGTGACTTAGACTTTGCCGAAGGCACAAGGCTAGACTGTCAGCTCTCTCTCTGAATGAAGAGAACCTGTCATAGCACTCTGTTGGCTGGAGTGGCTTGCTGGAAGGCAGTGATCTTCTCAAGATGTTTCTGGCACCCCTACTTAAAATTATGTTACCAAAGCAGAAAGGAAAGATTGTCCTGTCTGGATATAGTACATCGTGGCTGTTGTCTTATTTTTACTTGGGGAGCTTGTATACATGCTTCTACAGAATACACTTGTTTTTCAGATGAAAGACTAGTGTCCCAGTTAGCTGTGCCTTTTTAATTCCCAGAAGGAAATGTGCCTGCCTTCTTTGTGGTCTCCTGCTTTGGGTGGATATGTATGCAAACACTGTATTAACTTATGTTCAGTACTGGCTTTCTTCAAAGTGTGGCTGACCAAACTTGTGATTCCTGAGAGGGGTCTATTTTACAGGCCTTTTGAAAATGATGCCCTTGCAGGTAATTCAAGTCGGGCATCCTGAATAATTAATGAGTCTTGAATTTGCTTAAAATATAGCCTAAATTACTAGTCTTTGCAGATTTGTGCCCTTCATTACTTCATTTATATCTCTTGCATGTGAGTTTTGTGATGGACCAAAGAAGAATGTTCAGTGAAAAATAATTGAGAAAATATTGGTGACACATAAAAAGGTCTTTTCTGCAATGGAGAAAAACCACTTTAGCACATCTGTTCTAAACATGATTTGAAATTAGTTCCTCCCAAGTAATGGTATCATTTACCCATACCTGCCAACTGGAAATAGCCACACATAGTTCCCTGAGCCATTTTTAATGAGAAGATCAGATGTGAGATAAATTGTGACACTTAAAGCAAAAGACCCATTTTTAACCTGAGAAGTACAGAGGATGACTAGGGACCATGTTCCTCCTAGAAGCATCATAAAGGCATGACAGCTTTGCTTCTACTTTCATGAGTCCAGAATAGGTATTTTTATTAATGCTGGGAATGTACAAGCATCCTGTTTTCTTTCATCTCTCTGGCCTGCACCCCTTGTCTGTGAAAACATTTAGATACTTAATCTGGTTCCCCTGTCATCTACTACTGAACACAGCTATACTGGACTATGTGTCTCCCTCTTGAGTTCATTAGTCAAGAACCAGGCCCCACACAGCCCTTTATGATGATTTAATCATTATTTTCCATATGGAGAGTCTTAACACTCTTGAAAGAATCGTGATGGTTGCGGTTCTATCTACATTACAGCTTATGTCAGGAATGTGCTTTTGAAGTGAAGCTCCTGATTGCACCTGCCTACTGTACCTTGCTTTGCACTGTGAAATGAAGTTTGAGTGTTGGATTAAATTGGGATGAAAGTAAAGTGGAAAATATTCTGTCTAGAGCTAATATGCATTCAGTCCATGGGACTAGACTACAACTTGTCTGGTACCAAACCTCCATTTCACCTTCACTTAGAGTGTGGATGTCAGTTCCTCAGCATCGACCTTGTTTCTGTTTACATTTGGTCTTACTATGCTACCCTACATGTTCATTTAGATTAGCCTTGCATACAGATCAGTTCCTGTATCTTGAGGCAAACAGACGTGGAAAAATCCGTGAGCCAAATATGGGAGAAGTAAAAGATTTTGTTACATGTTAAAAGCTATCTAGGATGAAAACTCACTTTGGTACCTTTGGTTCTCCTGAGTGCAGTGTAAATCTTACATGCTGTTTAGATTCAACTTGGTGCCCAGAAAGAGAAATTTCATTTCAGGCTTCCATCAACACAAGGTTTTTGGACAGTGTAAATGTCAGGAGTGGGAGAAGACACATTTGTGTCACCTTAAAACGAGTGTGAGAGTCGCGCTACTCCTGCTTTGCTTGTTCGTAACAGAACCGGGAATTACTTAGTGGAATTTTGTTTATATGATACAGTGGAAAGGCAAATGTTTCAACATTTTTTTACCAAGTACACTTAATCTCGCTTGAATAACCTTCCCAACCCACCAGCCACCTACAGTAGGGCTATGCTTCACTGAAAGATTAGTGTCTTGTACTAAGAAATAAAACATTTATAGGCAGTGACAGATGATTCAAAATAATTTGGGTTTATGCTTCATTAATTCTTCTTGCTTTTGTGTTACCACTTTGTGTAACCTTTCCCTAGCAGCAGGATTCATTAGCTGAAGATTAAAATTCTCAATTGCCCATAGAAAAGAGGTGGGAAGCAGGTCTTCACCTGCATCTGATGTACCTGTGATTAGAGCTAGAATGACTGTATCTTGAAAAAAGGAGAGCTGAGTTTTCATGTTTATTCAGGTTTTGGCCTGTTTTCTGACAGTGCAAATAGACAAGCTTTTTTGCTATTTGCATTTTTTTGTAGCTATGCAGAGATGATTTTCATCTTCTCGTCCTCACAAAATGCAAGTTAAACAAAATCTGCTGTCTGTGCTCAACTCTTTGAACTCTGTCATGCTGTAGAAGAACAGTCAGATGCTGTCGTTTTTTACAGTGTTGAATTTAAAGGTTACAGGTATTGTAAGGTTTTTTGGGGGAGTATTAAACACCCCATTTTTCACCCTTGAAAAGAATGTTCAAAACAGTAGCTAACGTACATCTGAGTAGAAAGATATGTGGAAAATATCTTCAATTAAAACAGCAAAAATTTTTAGGGGAAAGACATTTGGCAAATGTAGCAATACTCTGCTATGCAAAATATGTGCCTCTTTTTCTCTTTTGCAAGATTTAAAGCTTCACATGCCCTTTGTTTTATCCATCAGGATTGTGATCTTTGGCTTCTGGCTGCAAACACAAAATGTAGGCAAGCATGCAAGGTTGTCGTGTGGCACAATCGTGTAGGAAAGCTGTTTTGACCATCAGATTTATGGAAGCAGATGAAACAGAAGTAGATAATTTCTGGTAATGTGCCTTGTGTTGCTCTATAGCAGTGCTTTGTGAGTATCTGAAAGATGACACAGGCAACCTTTGGAAAGGGCACTGTCTGGACTGAGAGCTAGAGGGAAGGTGGCTTCTGTACAGGCTGAGAATTTCCAGGAGCTCCTTTTTCACTTCAGTGTATCTGATGTTTGCCAGTTTTTGTGCCCACATCCAACTCCTCTGACTGTATGTTTATGTTCTGGGATGCAGTATATACAGAGTGCATGGCTGTCTGTAGATCCAAAAAGTATGGAGTTTGTGCTGGTTTTCTAATTGACTGCTTTTACAGGTGCTGAAGTGTTTCCATGCCATAGGTTAACAACACTCCAGTGTGGTTTTCCACTTGGATGTGCAGCCTGGTAGATGTTTGAGTGTGTTTCAGAACACAAGATTTGTGAATCTTGTGCTGCTGTGTTTCAGACTCTCCTGAGTAGAGTGTATTTTATCTTCAGACTACACGAAGAGTGTGCGCCATGGTTCAATTGCAACGTGTCACATGATTAGAAATGATTGTTATACAGCAGACAGTCTAATGATTATAATCTGATTAGGTCTCTCATATCACTAGCTGCATTTTTTTTTGTGGCCATAAGTTTATTAGAGAAAATGTAATATTTGTTATAAAACTACAATGCAGTATTTGCTTTTTTGGTGTCTTTGAGACGTTGCTGGGGACAAATTCTACAGGAATTGCCATTTACTGGGGTCACTTGGTGATCTAAGGATACAGAACATAGGTTATGCTTCGGCATATCAGTGTGGTTCATCATCTTGAAAAAGCTTATATTTGGTCTTCTACATCCAGCATAGCTACCATCACAAAAAGCCGAGGATCTTTGAGGTACTGATTTCAGGAAGCAAAATGCTTTCCACCTGGGAGTTTCTAAAGTTAAACCATACCTTTAGACTTTAACATCTCAACCCCCAAACTTGGCCATGCATACACACTTCTGTTTGTGTAGTAAAAATGCTATTTCTGCTTTAACCTTTACCTGATAGTCTAATCACTTCCCACCTTTAAAAAAAATAGTTTTTTAAATACTTGATGAAAATTATGCACTTCCAACTTAATTGTATGGCTCTATATTTAATATTTATGCTCATATTTTCTTATTTATTCTT